CTAATTATTCTATCCCTCTTCAAAGTGTTCTGTGCCGCGGGGCTGAAATCACAGGCTGGGGTAATTTGGACCTGGCGTAGGGAGCAGTTCAAAGCCCCCACCCCCCATCTCACCTTGCTGACGTTTCAGGTGACACAAGAAACTTTTTTTTTTCGGGGAAGTGATCACAAAAACTCTCCACAATTTTCTGTAGGTCGGGAACTGGCTTTGAAGTTCATGATTATCTTCCCTCCTATAATTAGATACAGCCTGTCTGCTGGTTTGGGTGCCTAGATTAGGCTGCTGCTAGTTAAATTAACCCTTCCGGGTGTATTTGTCAACGAAAAACACCAAGTGTGTGTATATTCATGAAGAGGGAATACATTCTATAACACTTTACAGCCTAAACAGAACCAATTATGCACGACGCTGTCCCCGAAGGAGGTAAATGTTTCATATTCCCACCACTGCAATATAGGTGTACAGTCGGTCTAATTTTAGGTGGGAACCCAAGAACCTGCTACTATCAAATAGGTACAGGGTCAGTGTGATTTTAGGTGGGAACCCATGAACCTACCACTATCAAATAGTTACAGGGTCAGTGTGATTTTAGGTGGGAACCCATGAACTTTCCACTTTTAATTAGGTACACGGTCAGTCTGATTTTAGGTGGGAACCCATGAACCTACCACTATCAAATAGGTACAGGGTCAGTTTGATTTTAGGTGGGAACCCATGAACTTACCACTATGGATTAGGTACAGGATCAGTCTAATTTTAAGTGGGAACCCATGAACCTACCAGTATATTTTCAGGTTGTCAAAGGTAACCAGAGCACCATAAACTCCACCTTGGCAAGAATTGAACCCAACACCCTAGCACTGCGAGCTACTAAGACAACATGTTCAACCAATAACTTCTACAACATTTTACAACCTACACAGAACCAATTTTAGGTGGGAATCCACGAACCTACCACTATTATATAGGTACAGGGTCAGTCTTATTTAAGGTGGGAACCCATGAACTTACCAGCATGTTTTCAGATTGTTAAAGGTAACCAGAGCACCATAAACTCCACCTTGGCAAGAATGTAACCCAACACCCCAGCACTGCAAGTCAAGGGTGTGAGCTACTAAGACAACATGTTCAACCAATAACTTCTATAACACTTTACAACCTACACAGAACCAATTATATCCAACTCTGTCCCAGAGGGAGGCAAATATCTCATGTTCCTACCATTGTCATGTAGGTACATGGTCAGCCTAATTTTAGGTGGAAACCATGAACCTACTACTATCAAATACAGTAGGTACAGGTTCAGTCTGATTTTAGGTGGAAACCCATTAATCTAGCAGCATATTTTCAGATTGTCAAAGTAACCAGAGCACCATACGCTCAGCCTTGGCAAGGACTGAACCCAACACAGCAGCTCTGCAGGTCAAGGGTGCAAACTACTAAGTCAAAATGTTCAACCAATACATTCTTTAACACTTTACGGCCTTTACAGAACCAGTTATGTCCGACCCTTTCCCCAAAGGAGGTAAATGTCTTATGTTCCTACCACTATAGGTGCACATAGAGTTTTGCACAGCCGCGTGCCTCTGCCCAGGTCTGTGTGCATCTGTAAGTGCATTCCTTGGTGTGCGCGCAGACGTGTGCACGCACTTATTACAAGCCCGGGCCACTGTACAGGCTAGTTAAGGCTCTGACATACTAGTCTCCATGCTGAGTGACCTTCAGCTGTTCCCTGCTACCCTGCATCTCCTGTTAGTAGATCCGGCTTTCCTTGTTCTTCCGATTGTTGTTCTGTATCCTTCCACCATGGCTTGTTCTTGACTACTCTTCTGTCTGCTGCCTTGTACTTCACTGCCCGCAAGTTATAGACCCGGCCTGTCACCCAACTATGTCTTGTCTGCTGTCCAAAAATCGGCATTCTTCACTCACTTCCTGCCTGGGATATGTCTGAACTACTGATCCCAGCATCTTCAGTGACTGCGCCATCAGCTGGCACTCATGCCACTCCCTGTTCTGCAATGCCTGTTCCACTTTTCAGGGGTCCTTGGAATGGAGCAGCAAGAGAGGTAACCCTTGTCAATTAACAAGTTGTCATCTCAGGCTCCCATCAAGGTACACAACACAGGTCTAATGCAGTGCAACGAGCAGATAGGAAGAGAGAGCGGGGTGACAGAGAGATGAGCACGCCATTCTATTGCTTCCTCTTTCACTGTACAGTCACAGGCTGGCTGCAGAGAAAAAATAGATCAGGGCTGTGCTATGTGGCAAAGCTGTGTAAACCTCAGGCCTGAATTGATAACAGTACAAATCCTTTGGCAGGAAAAACAACTCTCGTATATGTATATTTCATCTGTGCATTTAGCTGTCTGCATGTAGTTCAGCTTTAATGGCATGCTCTTGACACCTTAAAAAAATTAATTGACAAAAAGTCCTTTCTGCACCGGTGTCCTCTTTCTGCAAAAGCCTTACACACCATAGCGTCCTATCCTCACAGCCCCGCCATTGTATCTGTGCATGCCGCATCCCGCCGCCCCTCCAGCTATGAAACCAAATCTTGCTTTGAATGCTTTTAAGAGTTTTTAAGTACCATATCTGTAAATTACGTGAATCAACCTGAAGAGATAACAATCCCCCACCATCTTCTTCCTCCATCTGCATCTATTTCTGGCGCGAGACCAAACAGGCGAACTTCACAGATATGCATCGGGTTCCGCGAACCAATTTAAGAACCTGCGATTAAAGAAGGATGTTCCATTTTTATCACATTAAAGTCTTGTCTATCCAGCTGCCTTTACGGCCTTGATCTCACCATGGCCAATAAAGCGGTAATGCCCCCCTTATAACCTAAATATAGCCCGCCAGAGGGCGGAGGGCTGGGGGACCCTTTATGTGATAATAATCTGCTCTTTGATCTGACGGAATCTAATTTTAAACACTGTATTCCCCGGGCGGCAAATGTGGGAGTGCGTTGTGCGCTGAAACTATGCGATGCGTATCAAGGTGCCCAGGCGAGATTTGATTTTTCAGGCTGGGATGTTTTCACGCTGAACTTAGGAGAGCAGTTCAATACACCATTGAAATACATACACGTAGATTGCAAGCCCTCAGGGGCAGGGCCCTCCTTACCATCTTGTCTTGAATTGTATTATTGTGATTGTAATGCCTTTCTTATATTGTAAAGCGCTGCGCAATCTGTTGGCGCTATATAAATCCTGTATAATAATAATAATAATATGAGTGGTCTTTCCTGCCAAAGGAACTGTAATTCTGGTAAGCCAATCTTGTGATCCAGGAACCACTGTCAGAAAAGTATACCCAGACCCGTGACCTGAGTTTTCCAATGTGCAGCCAAGCAATGCAGTTTGGTCAAAGACATACACCCAACTTTTTGAAACAATGAAGTCACAGCAGCACACTGATGAAGTTGTCACTCTTCCCTTCTGTCAGCAGGTTTCCAGTGTTAGGATGAGCTGTTGGAAACTTTCAGAAAGTGTGATATTTGCATAAAGTCTTTTCAGGGGGAGTAGTACAGATGGGGTGAGCAGACGAAAGGGCAAATGGTAAGTTATGGCACTGGAGGGAGCCTGCTATGTACAGGGGTATTAGCTTGTATGGAAGAGGATAGGTGTGCATTGCAATACCCACAGATGCAGAGATCTGACCCAACCACCTCCACGAGCCCCACCAGTCCATTCACACAAAGTACACATCTCCTATTCAACCTCACTGCTTCTGAGGAGGCATTAGCACACTGTCCCAGGTTAAAGGTCAATAGCAGATACGTTTTGGGTGGAGGGATACTTTACAGGCAAACTCTGCTCATTGCTGATACTACAATTGTCGATGGGTGTCTATGGGTTGAATTGCTCACTGACTTTTTGTATATCTAGGAGAGTCCACCACTGAGACTCCCTGACTGTAGATCCTGTCTCCAGCACAGCAATATTAATGGTGTCACTGTCTTACGGTTGGTTATTTGCTCATTCTTTTTTACGTAGGGTTAATCTGGGAAAGGTACGCCATCATTTCTCTACATATTGGGCACAACAGTTGGTTAGAATTTGGAATTTTGGGAAGGATATCTCACCACTTGGGAAAGCTGGCTGCCAACAGCCACACAAAACCAATATATCAGTTCTGGGTGTATTGACCCTTTAATTATGTGCTTGAGGAGACTCTGGTGTTCCCTTCTACAAGATCTAAGAATTTAGGAACAAGAACAATGTGACACACACTGAAAGTGACACTAAAATCAGGAGTTAAATCTTAAAAATACATTCAAGTACCTGAACAATTAACAAAAATTTATCTTATCTGTGTATCACTCGGCTGTAGATCCTCAAATCATCTCTGAATTGGTGCTGACACTGTCCTTCCTTCTGGAGGGGGAGTACTTTTGTTCCCCATGGTCCCTGTGTGTGTTGTAAAGCAGTCATCGCTCCAAACTCACTCCCATGACGCAGTACAATCTCATGTTTAGTTAACTGATTAGTATTGAGATTGTAGTCCATCACAGGAGCGAGCTTGGAGCGGTGACTACTTTACAACACACACAGGGACCATGGGGAACACAAGTAGCCCCCTCCAGAAGGAAAGACAATGTCCGCACCAATTCAGAGATGATTTGAGGATCTACAGCCGAGTGATACACAAATAAGATACATTTTTGGTAATAGTTAAGGTATTTGAATGTATTTTTAAGATTTAACTCCTGAGTTTTGTGTCACTTTAAAACAAATAACTAAATAATTCTCCGCATTTTCATCAGGTTTAAGAAGACTACGACATGATCATATTTTTATTATTTATTTAAAAATCAATATAAACCGTTACAGTGTTTTTAAAGTCCTATGCCATAAAAGTGATGTACATGAAAATGTTTTGTGTCGTTGCCCTTTAATTCTTTTAAGAGTTTTTTTTGTCTGCATTAATAAAAAATACATATATCACTACAATTTCATAAATGAGAATGTATTTCTGAGTCCTGGAAAAGAAAACTGTCAAGTCGAGTTCACTATCCTCGTTTTCATTTCGGCTTTCTTGAACGAGTATTTCTGATTCGTCCTCTTATCTGTCAGAATGTACCAAGTGCCCCAGTAGATTCCGCTGGTCACGCCGGTGTACCGCCCCTTGTGATACTTCCCGTTTAGATTGGCTGCCAGGCAGGTGTCGAACCACCAGCCGGAACCATAATACAACCCACAGTTTCCTGATGTATAGTTGTCATTGTCACTGTCGTACGTTGTGAAATGCTTGTGATCATGGTTGTAGTTGCGGCTGTAGCTGAGAGCATTTCCGGCATTCCCACTGTATTCCCTGGCGGTGAGCCGGTACTTGTTTTGTTCATTGGCGACTTTGAATTTTCTATAGACCGCATGTCGTTTCACGCCATACCAGTCCTCTAGCTCTATGCGAAGGGTGTGCTGGCCGGATCTTGTTAGGCTGTGTAGGTGTTCATTGCCGAGCCAATGCTCAGCTTGGAGGCTGCCAAAACCTTGCTTGTACTCCTGCCATGTACGGTTGAAGTCTACCGTGCCATCCTGTCTTCGATGAAACACCGTCCAGCCTCCTCCATCTGTCACCATGTCACAGTAAACCTAAAAGCAACCAGAAGCACACATCCTTAGCCAAGAACTTGAACATAGGCATAGAAGTACATAAAATGAAACCTTCGCAGGCAGGCCATTAATAATCCGATAAAGGAAGAGAGGTTTGTAATACAGATTCAATATGTCATAATAGGACTATTTCCAATGTTGTAGAGGTGGAGAGTGCCTACAAAAGGACTCAATGATTTGGACAGGCAAATAATTCCCTCCTCTTCCTTCTTATTTTTATGTATGCCTATACAACAGTCAAGTGGAAAGTAATGTTTGGGTGAAGGACGAGTGGTTTGATACCCTATTTCCACTTTTTCCCTCCCCAACCTTATAGTACACTACTAAAATAATGAAACTGACACAGGGAGCCATCTATCACTCATGGGAAATCATAGTCTTTCAAAATTACATTCAGAGTTGTTTTAGGCTGGTTTTAAATGCTGTGATCCCACAGCAGACCAATGTAATGGCCATCATCCCAGGATCATGCACTGCTAGGGTGCCCTGACATCTGAGCTCAGGCACTGTTGGGTGGATTGATATCCTGCCCAGCAGTATTTTCATAGTCCTAGTGCTGATGTCGCTTGGAAGAGCCTGTAGCACCGCTTCACATGGAAGAGAAGGCTCCTCTTTTCAGGTAAGTCTCAGGCAGTGCCACCACTGACACCAACAATTTTATCAGCAGCTGCCTTTGCCATGGAAGCGGCATTATCCCACTGACCACTAATGTAAGAATTGAGCTTTACTTTGCTGGCCAAGGTAAGGAAGAATCCCCTTATATTGGTGGTCTGAAGAACAATTCTGCATTATTCTCACTGACTACTAAGGCAAAGGGGCTTCCTGCCTTCCGCTGACCACTAATGTAAGCAGAATTGAGAGTCCTTAATTTGGGGTCAGTGGGAAGAATGTGGAATCCTTCCTAATGACCACTAGTATAAGGGGCATTCCTCCCACTGTCCACTAGTGTTAGGTTAATTTCCATTGACCCCCACAAATGTAAGGGGCATCCATTCTTTCACTGACTACCAGTGTAAAGGACATGCTTCATTTTGCTCATCACCAATGTGAGGTATCTGCCCTGTCCATCGATGCTCTTTGGGAGGAAGAATACTCATTATATTGTTGGATAGTGGGAAGAGTGCCACATTCATTTAACTGTGGGGAATTCTTCCCACCAACCAAAATGTAAAGGGAATTCTTAGTCATATTCCTTTTCTGGCCACTATTATTCATTTAATTTAATTAGTAATAAAAATTGTTTTGATTTATGGCGGTGTTAAAAATAATCCACCTTGGTTGTCAGATTTACTAGGAACATACTCTGCCAGATAATCTGGGATTTGATTTAACTCTTGGGGACTCCAATACCAAGAAAACTGTATTTGGACATCCAGGTCCACACACCTGTATGGGATTGAATGCAGCAGAATAGGGGAGACTATGACACGGAGGATACAAAGGACTGGGAAAATTGGGGAGCAGAATTTTCTGCTGCAGTCCTTGAGAAATAAAAGAAGCTCATTGGAAATGCAACTCTTACTCTTCTTTTCAAGGATGAAAAAGTTTTTTTAGGAAACTAAGGGAAGGAGAATGACTGGGGACAAGTTTATATCCAAACAATCATGATAGTAATTTACAACAGATATAGGAAACTTACAATACCTCAAACGGCTGTCGCATTGCAATGGGCTGGATAGTGTAAATTCCATTATCTCTGATCCCCTGTTTGTAGATATCTGCACAGTCTCTTGGAAACAGCCTCTCTGATCGCTCTGAAGATTCAACTACTAAAGGAGACCAGAGAGAAACAATTAACTTACCCAGTACATTGATTTAGGAGAAAAACCTAAACCTGCATTATGGACAACACCAAATATATCAATTCTTGGCTAAGAAAATAACATTACAATACGCGCTTGTGCATGCCATGTACCCTCAGCTAGAGATAAGGTGTGATATCTACAAGAAGCTCCTTGTGGACCAGCTTTTTATGGAGCCCTGGGACCATATGACTACCCCAGTAGGTCTATGGGTGGCTCAATACCTTTCTGATAGGGGTCATCACAACTGTATTATACCCTGCCACTTTGTACTAGAGACTTTTAGCACTGTACTAGAGACTGCCACCTTTCCAGTAGAAGCCAACAGCTCTGTACTGCTGTCTACCTCGTTTCCGCATGGAGCCATCACTACTGTACTAGAGGCCCTTAGCATGTTAATAAATGTCAAGCCACCACTTTTTTTGCCAGGGCCTACTATCTTTGTTCTGCAGCATCATTCTCTAGTGTCCATGACATCTACTCAGTCCCAGCACTTCATTACTGATGGAAAATGGGAAACATGTTTCTCTTAAGTTCTCCACTGTGCTAAGGAGCACCACAACTGTACCATGGTAGTGACCAGCGCCACTTTGATAAGGTCCAGCAACATTACATCAACACATGACACTATCCCACTAGAACCATCTTGAGTACACATTGGACGCCCACCATTCTATAACAACTTGCCTTTTTGGCTCACCTTGAGATACCACGTTTCCTGCACTCTTCAGAGTCAGTGGCGGTTCTTCTTTTGTTTCAAGGGCCTTCAGTCTTCGACCTTCTACAACAAAGACTAGTTGAGTAAAGGCAAAAAAGAAGGACATAATATAACTGGGTTATCGAGACACAGAACAAAGGAAACGCTTATTTCTACATGAAGACGATGCCATGATACTTTTGACTACAACTTGGAGTTGGTGGGTTAAGGAAGATTTTAACTGGAAGTCTGCCAAAGCTGAAAAAAAGAATATTCCTCTTCTCGTGGTGACTGCATTCGTTTTTTTTTGCCCTTTATTTTCACCTACTGATCCTGCCAGTTATACACTTCCTGTCCACAGATTAAAAGGGTATTAAACGAAATAAATAAATTTGACCTATAATCATGATAGATTTCCTATAAAGCCTACCTTAGGACAAACTAAACCTTCCAATTGCTCCCACCCCACCTGTCCATGCCCATACCCTACACAGCACCTCTTCCACTAGTGAAGATCAGTTGTCTACCGCAGCAGTCTAAGCCCCCTGCCAATCGTTGTGAAGCCCTCATGCTGAAAGAGCCTTTTGGACCCTTCAATAATGCTGAATACTACAGTCAGTGCTTTTCTTCTGGTGCTAAGACTGAGAAATGTGGGCCTCATATAGTGAAGGGATCATGACATTTACCATCCCTTTCCTCTCCCCTCGTCCATTCACAAATGCCTTGTATTCTGTTCATGGGTCCAAGACGTTTCCGCAAATGGACAAGGGGTGTTAAATGACAGGATCTTTCTTTGACCATTCACATATGGCCTTGCGCCAATGAACAGAATACAAGGTGTTTTGTGAATGGACGAAGGGAGAGTAAATGACACAATCCCTACACTGTACAAGAGCCAGAACTCTCAGTCACGGTGCCAGAAAAAGTGCGCTGACTGTGGTATTCGGCATCATCACAGCAGTGATGAAGCCCTAGGATTGCCACCATTCATTCACTTATCACTCATGTACAGAACGCGATAAAAAAAAAAAAGAAATACTATTGGAGTTCTGCCTAAATTCTTTGATTTTGACCTGGTATTAGACTGAAGGAAGAAGAAGCAGCACAATGTGCCAGTGAGTTAAGCTGGCAATGTGTGCTAACAAGGAACACGCTGATAGGAGGAGAATATCCCCCCTTCAGTCTATCATGAATGCCGCTGCTAGACTCATTCACCTAACCAACTGCTCAGTGTCTGCAACCCCCCTCTGCCAATCCCTCCACTGGCTTCCAATAGCCCAAAGGATAAAATTCAAAATATTAACAATGACTTACAAAGCCATCCACAACTCTTCCCCCGGGTATATCTCAAACCTAGTCTCAAAGTATCACCCTAACCGCCCCCTCCGCTCCTCCCAAGACCTCCTGCTTTCCAGCTCTCTTGTCAACTCCTCCCATGCTCGCCTCTAGGACTTCACTAGAGTCTCTCCCATCCTATGGAACTCTTTACCCCAACCTGTTTGTCTGTCTCCCACTCTGACTGCCTTTAGGCGATCCCTTAAGACTCATCTCTTCAGTGAAGCCTATCCCACCTCAACCTAACCACTCAACCATCACGTTCTCAAACAATTCATCCCCACACAGCTACCTCCTCATGTATCACTTCCCCCTCCTCTTTTAGATTGTAAGCCCTCAGGGGCAGGGCCCTCCTTACCATCTTGCCTTGAATTGTATTGTGATTGTAATGTCTTCCTTATATTGTAAAGCGCTGCGCAAACTGTTGGCGCGATATAAATCCTGTATAATAATAATAATAATGAAGCAGAATGATAGAGAAGTGAGCTTATCAGTCTGCTGCTACGCTGTCCGTTGGTTACACACAGCAAGCCATGATGGATTCCATAATTCCACAATAGAAAGTTGCTGTTTTACAAGTTTCATTTATAAATAAAATGCTGCAAATTGTATTCATTTAGCTGTTTCCACCCTCAACCATCAGCTGCAATTTCCGTGTATTATCACAGAGCAAAACCAAAAACATTGCTTTTCCTTTTATTTAGTGTTTCGGGCTAATAGCCTTCTTACGGTCCTTTGAAAGAAATCTGCAATTAGCTGAATATTCTTTCTGTATTTTCTAGAGAAGGATCTTATATGGACCTCCCTCCCCCCATGGCTCTCTTTGTTTAGTAGAGGCGCTGGGAGACATGGCGGTCACATCAGAAAGCCAGTGTCAAAACTCGTCCAACTTTGGAGGACGTCACCGCCACACAGGGGCTTGTCAGAGCATCAAAGATGAGAAAACTTTGAACAAGCCGCACAATGCCCATTCTCCTTTTGTTTCATTTTTTTTTCCTGCTTTTCACCTCAATGGCTTGCAGAACATTCACCCTTTTTTTTTTTCCTCTCTCATTTTTAAGGTTAATTTTCGGCGCTATATAAACACCTGTAATAAATAATAAATAAATATATAATGCAATCTGTCAGTGGCATTAATGCAACAGTCTTCTCTTTTTCTGAGTTCGCTCTGTAACATAATTTTATTTGATCCTGCCATTAGGTCCTTTATTTTTTTTTAACTTCCTCTTACAGGGTGACAACGCTGTTCATTCTGCTGTGTATTCTTACAGCAGTAGGGACTTTAAAGTGGAATTATGTTCACCCTCTTCCATTGATGCAATGTTCGTGATCTTTGGCTATTTTGAATGCCCTGGCTGGGATGACGTAACTTCCGTGCGCACGCATGCAAGTTCGTTCATCCCAATACCAAACAAATGACAGGATTGTACAATGAACTGCACATGTGCAGCTCAGCACATGGTTTAAGAGGTTTGCGAGGACGAAGGTAAGAATCCATTATTTCAGAAGAAACATAGTATGTCTCTTCCTCATAAAAAACATTTTCTGTCTCAAGAATGTTTTACCCTTAAATTCCAACTTAAAGTGACAATAAACCCTCAGATTTTTTAACATAAACCAATGGTAAACCAATCCATGGTAGTTTCCCTTCTCTTTGCTGCTCTTCCTTTTAAATCCGTATATCTTCTCATACTTGGGGAGAACTTCCCTTTGCAGCTGACTGCCTCTTCCTTTAGTGCTGGCTCAGGTTGTGAACCTGCACACAGACACCATGTATCCATTCCAGAGACAAGGCAGTCTGCTGCAAAACAGAAGTTCTGCCCAGCATGAGAAAAGATAAGGATTTAAAAGGAAGAGCAGCAAAGAGAAGGGAAACTACCATGGATTACAGTAAGGCGCACATTACAGTATTGTTTTATGTTTAAAAATCTGAGGGTTTAATGTCACTTTAAGCAAATTAAAGTCTAGCTCCAGCTATCAATTTTAAGCAATTACAACAACTGTTTTTTTTCTTTTGGAAAAAAGGCTTAAACATTATGAAAAAGTATATATAAGTAAGCGCGCCTGAAGATGCAAAATGGTTTGTCCCAACCCCTGCAACTGTCACATTGCCTGGACAGCTTGGCCTGTTACAGGAAGTGGAAAAATAACAGATTCACTGGCGGGATCAACGGGTAATAAAAAAAGGAAAATTGTGTCATACTTACCAGTAATTTTCCTTTCCTGTTGCCTATCCATGGCAGCATACCTTTGAATAGAGGGAACAATGGGGATGTGTAGGTAAGCGCAGGGCCGGATTTACTCTCCCTGCTGCCCCAAGGCCAGGTTCCTCAATGCGCCCCCCTACCCGCCATACAAAACAAGCAGTGGCTTCCCCCGCTGTAGATTTAGCTCTGCTTCACCAAAGCAGGGCTAAATGTAGAAGACAACTACCCGCTCGGTGCCCGGAGCTGCATGTCCCTGGCATCAGGAGATAGGAATTCCACACCCCTGCTGCCCCTCTACTCCCTGCTGCCCCGAGGCTGGGCCTTGGTTGGCCTTGTGGGAAATCCGGCCCTGGGTAAGCGTCCCGAAGGTCCATGGACAGCATCCAGTCCCCGGGTTGGACGGCCTGGATATTGGTTTGGAGAGATTCCATCTTGAACCGCTGCAGATTAATATGCCTGTTTAGCTTCTTGAGGTCTATTACCGTCTTCGTTCTTACCAGGAAGAGTGGGGAATAAAACCCTCTGAATCTATCTGAACAAGGGACTGGGGTCACCGCACATTGTTCTAGAAGAGAGCGGACGTAATTAAGTTGTACTTCCTTTTTTTGGGGGAGAAACCGGAATTCATTTGCAGTGGTTCAAGATTGAATCTCTCCAAACCATTATCCAGACTGTCCAACCCGGGGACTGGATGCTGTGCGTGGACCAGGGACATGCGGTCAGGGGAGGCAGGTGAGGCAGAGCCTCACCTAGAATTATGGAGGAAAAAGCTGTCAGCTTCATGTCTGAAGCTGACAGCTTTTTCTCCATTCAGATCGGCATCTAACAGGTTACACAGCAGGAAAATCCTCCCTGCTGTGTAACCTGTCATGGACGCTCCGTCAGCAGTGAGGAGCAAGTGAGGGACAGGGTGGCTCCTCCCTATCTCCTCCCTTCCTCCTTTACACTAGCTTGGGGACAGGTTGGGGCGGGGCTTCTGTTG